CCTGCAGCTCCTACAGTAAACACTTTGTCCGGGGGCTCGGCCCGGGGGGCTCCGCATTCCAGGGAAGAGGCTGGGATCGGCGGGGGCTGGGCTTTCCGAGGGGCTGGGCGATGGCTCCCTGCTCTGTTGCCAGGAAAGAGCCTCCCTGCTCGTCTGGGCACCCGCAGAACGGAAGTTTCTAGGAAGCAAGGGGGCGGGTGGCCACTCTCCTGACCAGAGACCTTCTACTTTTGCTGCAGGTCTGGGGACCTTGTGGAGGACCCTGCCCCTTGTTTCCTTCCCATGCACAGCGACCAGGAGGGATAGCAGTGGCTGAGCCCTAGCTGCACAGTGCACGGGCAGTGAGGACAGGCTGGGCTCAGCCCGTGGCAGCGCCCACCCCGCCCCGTATGCATCCATTGCTGCCCCTTTGCACCAGGGCAGGGGCCAGGCAAGGCTGTTGCCCTGTCCCAGCCTTCCCCCGGGGTGGGTTCTGGCCTTTGTTGTCCATGCTTAGGTTTTTCTGAGCCAGGTGCTTCTCCTGGTGGGGCTTTGGTTCCTGTGGGGAATCGTCTGCATCCCTCACACCCTCCTGCATCCCACCCTCTCCTCCATCGGGCTCACGCTGGGTGCTGAGCTGGGAGGCACAGATGTGCTTGGCCATGTTTGAGCACAGCTGGGCTCAGCAGCATGTCCCCATGGGATGGGGACAGGCCAGACTTCCTGGCCAGTGTCCTTGGCCAAGGGGCACGAGGTCCCTGAGCCCCAATATCCCCTTGTGTCCTAGCTCCCTGTGCTCTGCTGGACCCAGTGCTTGGCAGGACAAGCACAGACCTCCCCACATTGGTGCCTGCCAAGGCAAGAGCCCCGGTAGCCAGGAGCTCTGCTGAGACCCTGCCAGGATCACCTGCTGGTGCCATCAGCAGTGCCAGGTGGACTCGCTCCTGTGCCTTCTCAGCCACAGACACTTGGATGTGTCCTCTGTGTCCCATGAGGCCTGTGGACTCCTTTGGGCCTGGGCTGGCAGGATGAGGGGAGCAGAGGTCTGAGGAGGACCTGGGCAGTTATCTGTCTCTCATGGACACACTCATGGTCCCTGGGCTTTGCGGGCTGCGCTGGGCTCTGCTCCCATGGGAGCCGCGCGGTGGAGCCGGAGCCCTTTGCTGCTCCCTCGGGCTCAGTGCTGTGAATCACAAGTTCGGCACGTGACCAACCTCATTTGCAGCTCCCGTTAATTGAAGGCAATGCTGAATAACTCGTTTGTGTCCCCTGTCTGTGGGCCGAGCTGCGGGCTGGGCAGAAACTGTCTTGCCAGGACTGAGTGGCTGGTCTGTGTGGCTGGTGAGGGCAGCACCCGTGCCCACCCCCTTGGCACCCTCTTTCATCCCAAACCGAGCAGAGGGGCATCCCCCAGCCCTCAGTCAAAACAGCACCTCCTGCTCTGCCTGCCCTCCCCTGCCAGAGGTGCCCCAACCCTACCTGGCAGCACCGGGGTGGTGATGACCAGTGCACACGGGTGGGTTGGAGGCCTTCTGGCTCTGCAAAGGCTGATTTTTTCCATAACTTTATGTGAGGAGTTTCCTCATCCATCTGGCACAGGAGCATCACTGAGGGAGGTGGGAGGCTCCTCGTGCTGCCACACATCGCTCAGTGCCTGGGAAAGTCAGCCCAAGGACTGCGGTGACTTGGGGGATGGTGGGTCCCAGGGCTCTGTCCCCGGAGCTGAGCGCTGGCAAGAGCTGCCTCACTGCCCGGAGGCACTGATGTTTCATGTGACCATGTGAAAATGTTATTGGCATCTGGTTTTATTTAAGCCGAGAGATTTGACACTCTGAAGGCGTCTAGCGGGGGGAGGAGAGGTGTTTGTCGGGGATTTGTCCGTGCCGGGGCTGGGTGAGGGCTTTGTCTGTGCTGGGGCAGAGTGGGCAGCAGCTGCTGCCTCCCAGTCCTGCCTTTCCCTGGTGTGGGAGCAGCGCATGGAAATGCCGGGAATTCAGCATGGTGGTCACCTCCGGTGCCAAACCTCCTGCCTGGCTCTTCCTTGTGTGTGTCCCCAAGGAGATGCAGGGGGGGCGGCAGGGGAGCATCCTTGCCCGACCCCCCCAGCCCCCGGC